CAGGCATGCACTACCACACCTGGTTCTGGGGCCAGCATGGCACATGGTACCAGGGATCAAACTTGGAAACTTGAGCTTGCCAGGCAGATGCTTATGCCCCTGAGCTATCTCCCCAGCCCCAAGTCCTCTTTTTTTTTAATGTTCTTTTCTCTAAATGTTAACCCAATAGGTGTGCTGCATTCTTCTTATTATCCCTGAAGCTGCCAGGCCTGCCCACAGACATGCAGCCCAGCACACCTCTGTCCAGCTTATTTTCTACTCTACCTGCCGTCTACTTGGACTTCATCATGCCATGTCCCAAGTGGCTTTTGAGAGTCAGAAAATTTATTGGAGAATAGGAATGAGGAATAGGTATAGCTCCTGAGAGACAGGAGGGGTCCTGGTTGGGTCTCCGTCATCTTAATTTGAGACACCTTTGCACCTGTGTAGTCCCCAGTACTTTAGCTTCCAACTTTAGAGTCCTCTCCCATAGCCATCCTAAAAGAATGACCCAATACCTGCATGCTCTTTGGTTTTTAATGGCATAGTCTGCCTCTGATTTTTGGAAGTGTGGGAGACTGAACCAGTGCCTTGCTGTGCGTGGCAGATACCCTGCCACTGGGCCACATCCCAGATGTCCACTCTGTGCTGTGTGGTCCAGTGGTACTTCCTTGCACCAACTTCATTCTCTCCACAATCCTAAACTGCAAACCATACTGGACAAGAACCAAATAAAATGTCCCATAAGGTCAAAATTGAACCTAACCATTGAATTTGGTTGAGTTCTTGTCCAAGTTGGTCTGTGACCAGAACTGTGGAAAGAGTCGGGTTTGTGGACTGAGGCACCACGGTGCTGCGGATTGAGCCTGGGGCTTCACACATGCAAAGGAGTTGTCTGTGAGCTACCTCCCCAGCCCTGCTTCTCATTTTTTTAATCTTAAAGTTTCCTTCCCAAAGGGAAAAGCACAGGGATTCCACAGTTGCTAAGCTGTGCAGTGTCAGCTGTGCTTCTTCCTACAATGCTTTCCTCTTAAATAGAAACACTCATAGTTAAGTCCTTGCTTCAGTGCCATGTTCTACGTGTACTCCTGTATTCCAGTGCTACAGTGCATTCATTTCAAGTGCATATTTTCTTCTTTTTTCAATAGGACACTACAGACTATGTCGCCTACGTAGCGAAAGATCCAGTTAATCAACGAGGTATGGAAAGCAACTTCTAGATTTTCTTAAGAGCTGTTGTATGCCAACTTTAAAAATATGAAGCATCTATTTTTAATGCAGAGTCATGAGTATCACTAGAGTGCTATAATGGACCCTAGAAATACTGTGTGGACTTGAGTTGGAGATAAATAGCTCTGGTGGTGCGACAGCAAGCAACGACACGGAAACGTCACCCAGGGCTGGGAGACAGGTGTACTTACATCAGCGGCACTGGGCAGGTCATTCGCAGAGTATCAGGCTCCGATCTCTTGAGGTTCCGGGGCTTTTGGATGGTACACAAGCGGGAGGCACCGAAGCGAGAGAGCGGCCGGGCAGTTCTGATTAGCTAGTGTGGTGAGGCCATCGGGTACAGGCCACATTAATGATGCCCAGTTTATGAAGCTTGGCACAGCAGCATGGTCAGGCCTGTATGTTTGGTTACATTCTCGTGGCTACAGGGTCAAGAAAGGAACTACAAAGCCATGAAGCAGTTACAGAAACGGGCAGTTTCAAAAGAACAAAGCTTTAAAGGGAGCAGTTTCTCATCTATGTTTTTTCCCTTTCACTGGTATAGTAAAGTAGAAAAATATAGACGTGGGGTTTAAGTGCTGGTCACTTGAGAAATTAACCCACCATCTAAGAGGCTCATCTTTCGGCATATCTCTTTTGTACTCGTAAAAGAAGTTGATGTCATTAAAGCTCGGATTGGGGGGGCCTGGCCCTAGCTCAGTCCTTTAGGGGCTGGGGAGATGGCTCAGTAGAGGGGCTGGGGAGATGGCTCAGTAGAGGGGCTGGGGAGATGGCTCAGTAGAATAAGCACTTCCTTGGCAAGCGCAAGGGCCTGAGTTCAATCCCCAGTTCCGCAAAAAAAAAAGGGGGGCC